GCTGGCGTCGGTGCCGGCGCCGGTGCTGGCGTTGGTGCTGGCGTCGGCGCTGGCGTCGGTGCCGGCGTCGGTGCTGGCGTTGGTGCTGGGGTTGGCGCTGGCGTCGGTGCCTGCGTAGGTGCTGGCGTCGGTGCCGGCGTAGGTGCTGGCGTCGGTGCTGGCGTTGGTGCTGGCGTCGGTGCCGGCGTTGGTGCTGGCGTCGGTGCTGGCGTGGGTGCTGGCGTCGGTGCTGGTGTAGGCGCTGGCGTTGGTGATGGCGTTGGCGGTGTCTGGGAGGACCCTGTCGTGGTGGAACTCGAAGACCCCAAGGTCGTGGACACCGTCGTACTAGAACTCGCAGTCGTCGAGGACACGGTAGTGCTCGAAGTCTCCGAGGTCGTGGACCGCGTCGTGCTGGAACTCGCAGTCGTCGAGGACACAGTAGTGCTCGAAGTCTCCGAGGTGGTGGACCGCGTCGTGCTGGAACTCGCAGTCGTCGTGGACACAGAGGTGCTGGAACTCACAGAAGTCGAGGAGGTCATGGACTCCGTCGTGCTGGAAGTCTCCGTCGTCGAGGACACGGTAGTGCTGGAACTATCAGAGGTCGTGCTGCTAGAACTCCCAGTGGTGGTAGTCACAGAGGTGGTAGTCCCAGAGGTGGTAGTCCCAGAGGTGGTAGTCAAGGTTGAGACCGTAGTTCTCGTTTTAGTGGTCTCTGATGTTGTACCAGTCACGGCCGTAGTGGTCATCGAAGTTCCTGTCGTCTGAGTCGTCGAACTTGCTGTGGTGCTCGATGTCGTTGTCACTGTTCCTGTCGATTCTGAAGTTGTCGTTTTTGTGGTTGACGACTTTGTAGTGGTACTCGAGGCCGTCGTAGTGGTGCACAAATGGCCGAAGAAGGTAGCGGCACGCTTGCGTAAGTGCACTGCGCGTCGGCGAAATACAAACGTCGGTCGTTCAGTCCTCCTTCGTGGGCCCAAAGGGGCACCCCGTACTCTGCCAAGGCGTCTTGTGCGCCAGCGGAGAGGGCGCAGGATACGCCGATCATCCACGCCAGCGCCGCGCTGAACGACGCCATTGTTGCGGATACTTAGCCGCTGGCGTCGCAGATGCTTCCCAAACAAGAACTTTCTTTATGCATTGAGTCACGATTGCTTGAGCCAAAATGGCTACGGATTTTGTTCTGTGTATATATATATATAGATTGTAAGCATAAACGAAAACAGAAACCAACAACAACAGCGCGCGTACTGCGCGAATCCGCGAGGGCCCAAGACGAACCGAGATCCCCACCAATAATGCTCAAGCTACCCCAAGAGATCAGGACTTGAGCCTCCAGGGGCCTCCAGGGACTTCCGAAGCGACCCCTGCAGACCTCCGATGCTCCGAGACGGCTCCGCGGCGCCGAGTAATCAAAATACGAAGCGGGGCAGGATGGAGGATGGGCGACGAGGGATGCGAGAGCAACCCGCGTGCCCTCCCGCCCCCCCCCTCATCGCGGGCAAACCCGCCCTGTCACTCTTGCCCGCCAGGGGGCCCCCCCGCTGGACAGACCCCCGTGGGCCGACGATTCAAGCGACGCCCCCGCCCTGCGTTCGAACGTGATAGACGAAGGGTGCCTTAACTGTTCTGCGTTCGAAGGGTGATAGACGATAGACGAGGACGAGGACGAGGAGGACGACGAGGACGAAGAGAAGGAGGAGGAGGAGGAGGAGGAGGATTCAGGCCGCCCCCCGCCTCTGTCTCGCGCAAGAAGGCAAGGCCTCTGAGGCGAAGCCATCGCGCCGCGACGACTGTTCTCCGACGGCGGGGCCACGCACGAGAATCTGTTCGGATTGCCCGCGGCCCTCTCCTCCTCGCCCTCGCGGGCGCCCTCCCTCTTTTCGCACATCTGCTCTGCCTCCACCTCCTCCTCCTCCTCCTCCTCCTCCTCCTTTTCCCCCGTTCCTCGCTCCTCCGCCTCCTCCTCCCTCTCCTACTCCTCCTCCTCCTCCTCCTCCTCCTGGTCCTCCTCCTCCTCCTCCTCCTCCTCCTCCTCCTCCTGCTCCTCCTCCTCCTTTTCCCCCGCACCCTCCTTTTCCACCTCCTCCTCGTCGCCGCCCCTCTTCTCCATGCGCAGCTCCCCCCGCCCCCCCTGGTCGGGGCGAGCGCGTCGACGTTCGTCGGCGCCGTCGCCGCCTCGGCCATCGCGCGCGCATTTGCCGACGGCTAGATCGCGAAGCCTTCGGGGCGATCCCGAAGGCCATGCCCCTGGGGCAACCCCGCGGGCCGCTGGGTCGCAGGGGCGGGCCGTCGGGGCAACCCCGCGGGCCTGGCCGTCGCGGCAAACCCGCGAGCTTCGAGGCGAACGCGGCCGCGCTCAGGCGGGAGGCAGCGCGAAGCCCAGCCGCGCTGCGAGCTGCTCCGCCACGGTTCTGGAGCTTTCCGCGCGGGGACCTACTGGCCCGGGTCAATCCATTTCCCGGACAATCAAGCGCTGCGAGATCCTGCAGGATCTTGCGTCCAAGCCCGGGCCAGCGCACCCATAGGCAGGGTCTCGCAGAATCCAACGCTCTGGCTGACCCCCGTTTGCATCGACCCCGTCTCTTGAGCCCCGACCCGCTGTTTCGACGAACTTCCGAGGCGCCTTCTGCAGGGGCGCTGGCAGCCCGCGCTCCAGGAACTCTCGCGCGGGCGGCCGCATGATCAGCATGCTCCGCGCGCGTGGCGCGGGGGAACAGGACGCGGGGGCGCAGCCGCCGTAGCTCGTCCGACATGCCCGTGCGACCAATGCCCTCGTCCCTGGAGCAATCGATGGCGACGCCATCGCCGCGTCGGGGGGCTGGGTTCAGCCGCGACCCGCTCGGATTGGCCCGCGAGGGCTCGGATCACCCTTCGTCCCTGAGGAACTCAACAGTGATTGCAGCTACGACATCGCGAGGGTCCGCTCGGATTCTCACATGTATCTGCGGCCGGGGGGCTCCCGCTCGAGACTTTCCCGCGACTCACTCACGGAGGAGGCTCCCGCCTGAGACTTCCTCAAGAGCCAAGCCTGGCTGGGGAACCCACAATTGGCGACAGATGTATGTTTCGCATCGCCCGCTCAGATTACCAATATGCAGCACGGGCCCCATAGGAATGGGACTACAGTTACAAAAGGTGGATGATCCGCTCGGATTACCCAAATGACATGTGGGCTGAATAGGGAGGAGGCTCCCGCTGGAGACTTCCTCGCAATTCACTCACAAGCGAGGCTCCCGCCTGAGGTCTCTTCGCGATTCACTCACAAACGAGGCTCCCGCCTGACTGAGGCTTCTTCACAAACAAGCACGCGGGGCCCAAAAGTCACGTCAGTTATAAGATCTGGATGACCCGCTCAGATTGCCAACATGATCTGCGGGCCCCATAGGGAGGGGAGACTTCCCCGCAATTCACTCACAAACGAGGTTCCCGCCTAAGGCATCTTCAACATTCAGACGTGAGGGGCCCCAAAGCGACGACAGTTACAACATCTGGATGACCCGGTCCGATTGCCAACATGAAATGCGAGCTCCCTAGGGAGGGGGCTCCCGCCTGAGACTTCCTCGCATTTCACTCGCAAACGAGGTTCCCGCCTGAGGCTTTTTCACAATTCAGGCGTGGGGGCCCCAAAGTGACGACAGTTACATGGTTTAGATGACCCGCTCCGATTACCAACGTGAATTGCGGGCCCCATAGCGAGGGGGCCCCCGCCCGCCTGAGACTTCCCCACCATCCACTCACAGACAAGGCTCCCGCCTTGGACTTCCTCAAGATGAGTCTATGAGTGTGTGACTGCATGGGTGTGCGAGTACGTTTGTGTGTGCGTATGAATGAGTGTGGGAGTGATGTCGATGATGCTGGTGGTGACGGGTGGGCGAATGAGTGAGTGAGGGGCTGACTGATGATGAGCATGCTGATGGTGATGATGGCAAGTGTGAATGTGTGTGAGTGACGAAAAGAAGGGGTTATGATGATGGTGATGATGATGTTGCTGATGATTATGATGCTGGTGAGAATGATGATGATGATGATGATGATGATGATGATGATGATGATGATGATGATGATGATGGTGATGATGATGATGATGATGATGATGGTGATGGTGATGATGATGATGATGATGATGATGATGATGATGATGATGATGATGATGATGATGCTGTGGGTGGGTTCCGGGTCCTCTTCCTGCGCGGGGCCCAGAGAAAACAAGAACCCCACTTAGGATGTGGGGAAACATAATGGCACATCCGCAAACGTGTGGAATTCTCTCCAGGCGGGTGAACTTCTCTCCCTCCTACAATCCCACCCCCCAGGGTTCAAAACTGCGCCGTTTGCCTCCTCCCTCCCTTTCTTGTTCTCGGTTCCTCTCTCGCTCTCTCTCTCTCTCTCTCCCTCTCTCTCTCTCTCTTAAGTTCTCTCTCTCTCTCTGTCTCTCTCTATTCGGATAGCTCCAAACCATACACCGCCACCAGCCCTGGACAGGCCCATCCTGGGCCCTGGCCTGGTGTGCGGGCCCTCCTGGCCCAGGCCCGGAGGTCCGTACACCAGTCCAGGGCCCAGGATGGACCTGGCCAGGGCTGGTGGTGGTGTATTGTTGGCGTCCCTCCGATCTATGTCTCTTGATCCCTCTCTCTCTCTCACTCTCTCTCTCTCTCTCTCTCTTTTCCCCCCCCCTTGTCTCTCCCCCTCTTCCCCTATAACTCTGCAACATGACCACGGGCTGCATCATCGGCAAACAACGCGGAGCGCAAGCAAACTATAGGGGCAGGCGGCTGTAACGTAACCATGCTTCTCTCTCTATATATATATACACATGCATAACTACATTTATGTATAGATGTACATATAGACACATGTGCTTATAGTGATAGCTTGAGAAGGACAAGCGGCAACAAGAGAGTGAGGGAGAAAGTAGCAAGGGGAGCAGGGCGGTGGAGGAGTAGGGCGAACGAAGAGGAGGAGGAGGAGGAGGAGGAGGAGGAGGAGGAGGAAAGGAGGAGGAGGAGGAGGAGGAGGTCCTTGGGGAAATCCATGAAGGGCATGGCCGAGTAGTGGGAGATCGGCAGCGAATCGCCTCCCTCCCTCCTTCCAGAGCACGCGGAAGGCTTGGACACCCTGACCTGAAGCTGCGTCGAATCGCTGGATCGATCAAATGTCCGGTCCTTCGGCCCGTCACAACTCCGTGACAAGAACAAGAACGGATCCTCAGGAAACGAAATCGAACCGACC